AAATATTATGGACTGCTTGGAAAAGACGGCACATCTCAGACTGAAACATGCATGTTCTAAAAGTGGATTTCTGATCACTTAGAAAAATGTTGAACAGACTCCTCGGTCAAGTTTGTCTTGGATTTTAAATGTTTCTAAATCCCAATTGAGCCAACCACAGAAGTAGCTTAGGAAAAGTCAACCTTTACCACCCAGAGGATGTCCGATCCAATTCCACTGACACAACAAAACACATGCTTGTAAAATTAATCAAAGTTATGGAATTTTAGCACAATGTATGATCACAGCCCTGTCACCTCATGGACACACATCTGCTACCTGGTCCAGATTTGCATGACAACTAAACAGTTAGCCTTAAATACATATAATTTATTGTATGTATGTATGTTTAAGTTTATCTAGTTAATAAAATTCACATTTGAGAGTTTTTATATTACCAGCGCATGTTGTTGTGGCATCCAAAACTAAAAAAAGGTGTGTTTTCCTGCACTAATTTATCACAACAATCTCTAATCCTCAGAGGATGTTGTTACACAGTGCCAAACTAATTAAGATCAAGTCTTGGGCAGTTTCCTGTACAAAGAGGAGGTTAGGATGCAGGCAGTGGGAGCAGTGTATTTAACAGGAGCTGAAATTTGTGTGTCCTGGCCTTGGAACAGCCATCTAGTAGTGCTCACACAGTATATTTTCATCTGTTGACAATCCAAACTCTACTTTAAGGACACACGCTTAGTTGTAGACATTTCTGTCAGGAGGAAAAATGAGACTGCCTCCCTGGCCCTTGTTGATGTCCATTTGGCCACCTGCCTGTTTGTATCATAAGTACTCCTCCATGTATTTGCATTACTATTATGATTTGGGCTTTTCCCGTTTTATTTGGCCATTGAGCACAGAGACACACTTGCTCATGTCCTCGCTGAACTTAGGGCAAACATTACTGTGTGTGAACTTTCATGTCGTGAATGAAAAATTTCTATTAAGCCTCCACAGTGAGGCACCCACGGGATGCTGTGTTGGATCATTGGGGGGAAAACTTAATGTAGACAATCCATCTCCTCAGAATGTAATGCACTGACATAAAAGGATCAACACAAATTTGATCTGCAAGAGCCACTGAAAGAGCCTCTGCTGCAGTAGTTAGGGACCACTGCAAATACACTACAACGCGACGAAGCTTCACCGATGTGGATCTTTTATCCAGTTCACACCTCAGGAGATCATGGAGACTGTGCGGAGTGAAAGCCAGTGTTGGGAAGGTTACTTCTGAAATGTAATAGGTTACAAATGACTAGCTGTGCTGTTAAAAATCTAATAGCCTAAGTACTTTAACTATTTTATTTACTTCAAAGTAATGCAACTTATTGATTACTTTTCAGTGTTTCCCCTACCATTATATTAGGCCCACAGACACAGGTGAGCACACTAGAGTACGGCTCTAGTACTAGTGCTAACAAAATGGGGTACTGTACAGTTTTTAATGTCAAGGTATTGCGATACTTGACTAGCTGGTGACTAGCTAGTGAACATAGTGGAGCATTTCGCAGCTTAAGAGCCCAATAATTCCCTTAAATGGAGAGTGAATACTAGACCTACATTTACCAGGTGGCCAGAAACACAACTTCAAATCAATGCAAATGTTGCTTCATACCTGCCGGAGGTGTAACTAAGCAACTGTTTGCCAACAAGTTCCTCAAATATTTATAAGGTGATGTTTATGTCGTGTTTCTCAGCTTATTTCTGCTGCAACCAAGTGGCCAAGTAAATCACTTAATGCGGGTTAAAGGAGAGCGTGCTAGTGGGCTACTGTGCACCAAACACAATCACCAGCCTTGCCCAAAACAGAAATGTATCCACTGTTCCTGAGCCAGACCTGGCTCCTCAATGACAGGGCCTTCAGGAACTCATTGCAACTCTACACTTCAACAATTGGGGGAATGTGTGGCAGCCAACACAACCAGCAAAGTGAAAATTTTCTTAGTTAAGAGACAATGACACGCAGTGCAATGTAGTGTCAAAACAATCTGTAAACACACTGTAAAGTTATCAGAAACCACATATTTGACCTAACTCATGGTTCATCACCAGGTTGGCCTTTGTTTTTAAACGTGTCTGACACGCCTGAACCGAACGGCCGGTGGCTTGTGACTACAGGAGAGGGCAACCTCACACAGGTTACTGCCAGACTCTTGAGTTAACAGGAAAGAAATATTTCCGTGCTTAACTTGGCTGAAGTTCTCAACAGACCTGCCTCTGCTTAGTTTTTCTGTCCGCATGCCTGAGCACTGGTGCTGGACCAGTATGGGAAGAGCCAAAGACTTCTCAAAAGCCTCCTGTGATGTGTCGGTTGTGACACTGCCGTGCCCCTTGACTGTTTCCGCTCTTTGCCGGATGCCTGGGCTCTGAGCTCACGGGCCAATCACTCAAGCAAAGAGTCACCGTTCGGGAGCGTCAGCATTAACCGTACTAATGAATGAGAAGCAGACAATCAACAGAGACTCAGCAGCACTCCTGGGTGCAAGAGCCAGATCAGGGAACACGCCAACAGCTCAGTGCATTCAGCATTTTATTGCAATCGTTGGCAGGACTCAAGCTCAATTTTCAATTAAGTACCAAAAAAGAAAAGGGAATGGATTTTATAAAAGCTGACAACAAGAGAGCTCTTTGGGGACCTTTGTGTGAGGCGCTTCCATAGACTGACATGACTGTGTTTGTAATTTCCTTACCGGTGGATTTGAGGTCCTTCTGGTGTCGAGTTATTTTAAGTAATAGCTCTCAGCTCTGTCTCTACTGCAGCCAGGACACATTCCCAAAAACCTGGTACTTCAAGCTGATATGATCTTATTTATTCAATCTTGAAAACTGAAACTTTCAGGCCTCAGTGTGCCTCGCCACCTGAATGGGCTGCTATTTAGTTGGACCTACATCAGAACTATTTGGTCAGTGGACGAGGAGGTGCACTATGTGGAAAAAGCACTTGTCGTCATGTTTACTGTCCTTCCAGGAGGTAGTCTTGATGGTTCGGCTCTTGTGGCAGCTCATAGTTTTGGGTAGTAAAACGCCGGGGGCCTATCGATGCTCTGAAGCCTCACAGCGTGGCTCATCCGTGCCAGCGGTGAAGGACAAATGTGCCAAAGTCTGCTGGGTTTGGCTCTTGTCTCACCCCCTGGCTTCCAACACCGATGTATCCAGCTGAGGTACAATAATTTGACACCTCTTAAGCAGCTGGACCCTTTAGCGTGACAACCGCTGCTTTGTTTTATATTCCTGCGTATTTTGAACGCAATCAAAAATTACAGTCAGCAACATCTAAACTGTGTTTTTATCCACTTTGGACTTTTGCCCCTCCCCACCCCCTTCAATCTCCTTTATCCCTCCCTTTCCTATGTGGGATTTAACGTACACTTTGTGGTAACCTTGCTAAGTTATCAATTTTTTCTAAGTTCTCTCACACTGAATAAAGGCTTGTTTCTCTGTGCCTGCTTGTTACGACTTCAAGGACAGCTCCCTCCATCTGGCATTAAGTATTCCTGGTGCCAGTGTCGGGTTAACTGACACTCCTGCACTTAAACTAATGGCAGCGAGCAGTCATCTCCCATGAGGTGCTCACCTTGGAAAAAATCACCCAGCTCCCTCATCCTCAATCATAGTGGTGCTCTCGCCACCCACTGAATGAAACCATGGGCATGAAAAGAGGGATTGTTTCACTATTCAGGCATATATGAGGGCAAATGAAAACATGTAATACGCATGTCCTGTCTTGGATTTGCCCTCCTCCCGAGTTCAATGAGACGTTGAGAAGTGGGAAGAGTAGAGCAGCATGCAAACAGAAAAAGGCAGAGTCAGCAAATCGTCACTTTCATTGGGGAGGAAACATGCAACCCGATTTCTTTAGCAAATGAAGCAAAAATAGTACAACAGCCAAATATTAAACATTCAGATGCTTAAAATAATACTTCTGAGAAACTCACATTTAGAAAGTAGACACCTGGATTTAGAGGAGAAATCTTATATTCTGATAATTGCCTGGTACCATTGACAAAAAAAGCCCTTTTAGTAATTAATCGCCAAGTTTTGACTATTAAAGGCAGCTTGTAAATTTTGTGTGTGGACAAATGTTCTTTCCCACACCTACACCTTCAGTAAAGTGCAATCTTATTTTACTTTTTTCATCAGATATTGTACTGTTGGTCTTGACTGAGAGCTGTTTCATATGTTCATATGTCACTTTCATGTGAATTAGAGTCAAAAGGTCTGAACAAATTTCATTTTATATCTATTCTTATGAACTGGGTGCATTGGCAGTGTGCTTACACATGTATGTATTTTTCACATATATCTGTATTTTATTCTGTTTCTTATATTGCTTTTATTGTTGAGTGTCTGTGTTATAAACTCTATTTTACTTGCTGTTTTATGCTTTGGACCAATATACCCTTTTATTCACTGTGAAGCACTTTGGAACACTATTTTGAAAAGTGCTATATAAATAAACTTTGTTATCATCATTATATTGATCTTACAACCTCCTTTCTACACCACTGTGTAGCTGTATAACGATGTCTCTTTTTAGATTTCCCAGGACCTGTTTTCTTATTTTACCACATTTTACTTGGCTGTCCTTCGGAGATAGACTATTTCCATCCCAGGTAAGCTGTTAACATGAATGTCTTGTACAGGTGAGTCCAGGGCAAAGAGAAGCACCTCTCAGACCACAGGAGTGCAGCATCACCACCCGTCCTCCTCTGAACCCCTTTCTCAATGGAAACCTAAACAGCTTTTTAAGAATGAAGAGGTTTTTCAGTTTGTTGCTAAATATAGGTCAGCCCGGTGGGAGGTGGCAGGTTCCAGAGCCATTTTCAACAAAGATGAGCCCCAGGTCCTGCCCAGGGCCCGGCGGGTGGTGACTGCCGGTGGTCCGCCTTTCTCTTATGCACCGGCTCTTAAGTAAACACTGCAATCCTGCGGTCAGCTACAGCATGGCAACGGGCGAAAGGACTCACTGTGCAGTTGCACACAGCTATGGTGTGTTGTCTCCTCCGGCCCACTCAATCTTGGCTCCTCCCCGTCACAGAGGCCTCAGCAGGGGTCGAGGGCCAGCGACAGACCTTGATGTGTGATCCCAGAACCCTGCTGGGAACTCCTGGTGGGGGCAGTGTTGGACTTCACCTTCTGGACCCCTCCGATGGACCATTTTCCATCTGGAAAAAGAAGTCTAAATTAAGAACATTATCATGTTTACTGGCATTATGCAAAGTCATGATGATTTGCGAGTGAAAACTATCAGGACGGAGGATCTCAAACATTAATGTACCATGATTCACTTGAAGCTGTGATGGATATGATTTTACCTTAATCAGTGAATTGGTTAAGATGTGAAGAGTTTAACTGTCATTCATCAATGAGAAAACAGAAAATATACAGCCAAGTAACCAGAAGAAAATATTGGCATAGTGCACTTCTGCAAACCACGCTCGACATGTTACATTTGCAGGTGTTATATCAACGTTTCCAAAGTGATGTAATATATGAGCTGACTTTGTCATCAGGAAGCGGAGGGGACGGTGGATGGCGTGTCACTTATGCAAAACAACAGCCAAGCTGCAGATCACTGCATGAGACCAACAAACAACAAAACTGGTTGTTTTTTAGCGAGCTGTCGCTACGTTTCCCGTGGCTTTTTTGCCCCCAAACTTGGATGATTTTTCCGTTGCTGTTTTTCCAGTGAGGATTGTGCTATTAAAAGCTGTTGTTTTTCACAGAGACATCGCTGCATATACTGACGGGATAGTGGCATGATTGGTACTTGTTTTTTAACGAGACATTGCTGCGTTTTTGGTTGGGATTATGCCCCCAAAACAGAGTGTTTTAGGCCAAAACATGATCTTTTTACTAACCATAACCAAGTAGGTTTTCTGCCTAAACTAACCACAAATTATCCACAGTGTTGTTGAAATGTAAAGTTTCAGTGTATCCGCTACATAATGACGTCCAAATGTGGTTTGCAGAAAAGGACAATGCCAACATTTATCCTGGCTATTGGGCTGAAACACAATAACCATTACACTTAAATTACTATGGTTAAATCAGAAGAAAGGCTCCCTTGAGCTTCTTTTAGGTGGAATAACAGACAAAATGTCCTTAAGTATTTCATAAGCCTAAAGGGAATTATTATTAAATCAAATTAAGCAACTGTGACATTAGAACAGTCATAAATTACTGTAATTTCTACAGTAAGATAGTGTAAATGGTTGGAATTATGTGTATATCACATTCAGTAAGTTTAGCATGTTAAGGAATAACAGCCACATATATCAGGTTTAACCAGGAAATATCTGAAATCTCAACGTTTTTATCAAAAGGGCAACCTTTCCAGGATAATATGCCATTAATCACCGGGATCATATCCAATAAAGTGCCAGATTAATCAACACAGAGGAAAACTGACAGCCCCAGTCCTTATCCACTGAGGAAAATAAGGGGCAACAGGTAGCCCTTTATCCATTGAGCTCTGTTCTTGCATTGCTCCCCTATACACGAAGATCATAATTTGGGGAGTCTCAGTGGCTACCTGTAAGGACCACAGGGGTGGCAAATAGCAGGGCTGTGGCTTTCTGAGCTTCTTAGTGGTGCGAGCAGAAGGATTTACGGTAACTCTCAGACAAGCGTTCACAGCTTGGACTCTTGGCATGGATTCGATATTGTCCCTGGCTGAGCATCAAACCCACTGAACCTGAGGTCCAGAAGTACCTACACAAAACCCTGGGATGTTTGAATGATAAATCGCCGACATTTAGTGGCAGAACAAAAAATATTGGCCTTGCTGGGGATATCAATTTTAATTTTAATTCACAGTGAGAGCGCATACTGGGTGGCTTGATTGACCAGAGATCGGCTTTTCGTTTAATTGACAAGCTCTTCTCTTTTGGGTGAGTTTTCCTGCAAATTCAGCACAGGTGCATTAGTATTGAAGGCAACCCTGCAGCGTGAGAGGTGCAACAATTGCCAGTGGGGGTGATATAAAATATCAACCATGATTTGAAGTGCATTGACCAAGCTATCTTTAAGTCCATGTCCAGTCCTTTAGGGACACGTAATTTATTTCCCTCTGTAACTGGACTCTTTCTCTGTGCCTGCTTCAGCCCGTCATTGCCAGCACTTCTGGTTTTGATAAAAGAGAAACCAGCTCCATTAGATTTCCTGAGTTCAATGATAAAACCATGTGGCAAAAATAGCTCGAGAAGTTAATACATCTGACATGCCAAGAAGCATAATGGATCAGTTCAGTAATATGTTCTGTTTTTAAGAAGGATCAGTGCTGAAATCGGGGATGTTTTTGAAATCATTGGTATCATTATCTTCAGGTAAAAGCATCTTGAACGAGGTTAATGCTGAATTTTATTAATGTGCTGACTGCTGACTATGCCAAGAGGTGCTTTATAAAGCCACAGGACTGAATTTAAGGTCAAAGAGGATGCACGGAGCCAAACACACCAACCGCCACCCTGGAGAAAAAAGCCATGGTGCTAATATTAGGGGGAAGACTGATTACAGTGCTACTATTAGGTTTTGGCGTCAATTTTGGTCCAAAGTAGGAACGCCCTCGGCACTTTTCTTTGGTGTTCATGCCCTCGGTCGTCAATGGCACACTACATGATATTATGAGGAGCCAGACCAAACATGCCGAAGCAGACCACAGGGTTACTCACAGCCCCTGCACATTCTTTTGAGGCTGAAATGTGACCCGGTCCTATTTTTCAGCAGCTTGTCAGACTCAGTGTGGTGCAGGGAGGTAAGCTAGGAGGGAAAACTGTTGTCACCTTTCTATAGTTCTTACTTTTTCTGACTTACAAGATGGCAACCTCGGGTGTCAAAATGAGTCCAGATGGGTTGGTTGGGCAAGTGCTGGCAGTCGCCACGGATATGGAAAGCAAAGACGCAGTGGACAGTAAATGGAAATTAGTTTATTGGTGAAGCTTTGCAAGTTGATGGACACACTATGGTAAAGTAATAAGTGTAGTAACCACATGCATTAAGACATATAATGCCATATGTGAGACTGAAATTGAAGTGACAACATAATGATTTGGGGTGAATTCAGTTAAAATTTTTGTAGCAGCTTGAGGAAGTAGTTCATGTCCAGCTGTGTGTAAGATGTTTAAAACATTGCTGTCCCGGATGATGTCTGCTCCATTTCCAAAAACATTTATTTTTCTATTTCCTCCCTCTATACAGTTAGAGAGCAAAGTCTTTGTTGGACAGCCTCATCAGAGACTTGGACTGGAATACACTGACAGGCATTCAATATGTCAGAGGTTGTCATCAGATGAAGCTCATTTTGAAAAATGCTTGTTATGACTGCTGCTAACCATATCCACCCACTCTGTGCCCAGTGAGAGGGACAGGGAAGAGGAAGTCTTTCAGTCCGTCAGGTCGTACTTCATCTCAGCAGGCTCCGGAGCTGCTGGACGATGGACAGAGCTTTAAGTCAAAGTCTGCACATCTAAAATTTGCTGGTGGCACATTGCATAGGAGGAAAGCAGCAAAACGGTGTCTGAGAACATTGTACATTAGGATGTCACCACAGTTTCACTATGCAATTTCTTTTTGTTAAAATATAGTCATGACATAGGGTTTGACCTCTTAAAAACCAGCAAAAATGAGCCTTCTGCATTTTTTCAGCATTAACAATCTGGTTAAGCTCTGGCTCACTGACTGTTTTGAGCAGAATTAAGAATAGTGATGTCACTTCCTTGGCCAGAGCCAGAAAAATTTCCCCCCAAAATGGTAACAAGCGTGAATGACACTGATGGTTCTAATGGTTGTGCAATTGTTAACATACTTGCCAACTGTACTAGGTGTGTGTCTTGAGGATTCCACTTCCATACCAGAGAACTCACACAGGGCTGACAAATAGAGACAGACCACCATTCATGCTCACATTCACACTTTAGACTCACCAATTAAGCTGACCTGCATGTCTTTGGACTGTGGGAGGAAGCCAGAGCACCCGGAGAAAACCCACGCTAACACAAGGAGAACATGTAAACTTCAAACAGAAGGGCTCCCTAACCCTGGAGTTCGAACCCCCCCAGCCCGGGGAATGACGATGTAAATCAGCGTTTGTCAAATGGTGATACAGGTATCGAAAAGTACTTTGGAGTACTGCAGGGGGTACACAAGACTCTTTAAGATGTTCATTTAAATTAAAAAATTACCTCAAATACTCATACTGTAACAAGTTCAATAAAAACTGTAAGAGTAATTTCGATATACAACATTTCATAGTCAATATTCCTCTTTTCGACGCAATCTTCAATGGCCATAAATAGGCGCAACAAACACAATCTAGTTTACAATTGTTCACTGTGTGTTTCTACCAAAAATAGTTTGTGCTGGCCAGGAGGTACTTGGCTCAAAAATATTCCAAAGGAGGTACATTTTTTAAAAAAACATTTGAGAACCACTGAAATAAACATTAAACATGGCAACACCTAATGAGGTTACTATATCATTAATTCTGACACTGGCACAGATCAAGCATTTCATGACAATAGTGAGTATGTTCCTTATGTTTTGACAAAACTGTCCCTACATGTCCATACTACATCTTGTGGATGTGTTGTGTTAATTTCTATGATGTGCACAACCAACGCTCCAAACAGACACAGGATGCACTGGACAACTATCATGCGCATGTGAACACGTCATTAAAAGCAAGTATATCTCCAGAGACAACACTGCAGTACTTGCAGGCTAAGGTGAACAAAACCCAGCTGAATACGGTAAAAGAAAAGGACCATAGTTTAATCTGATTTATTTTAGCCAATACAGATCCATTTAAATGTGCCCGGATCCATGCAGATTACATAGTCTCACTTTAAACTACCATTACTGCGAGTATTTTCTTTAGTGATTTAGAAAGCCAGTGACAGTGACGGGAAGGTAAAAGCAAAACAAGAGGCATGTTGGGTCAAAACACAAAATATCTTGTAGCTGCAAGCACTGTTAAATATTCCTCCTTAACACAGCTATAACCGTTGTTCTTCATAACTTGTACTGATGCTTTTGATTGACACATTTTGTGCTGTCACGCTCCATTATCCAGTCAAATTGAAAGTCAATGTGATGCCCTGCTGGCCACTTATCCGCAGGAAAAAGAATCACAGTGTTTTCATTTTAAACAGGAAAGACTGCTGAT